GAGAGCGGGCCCGTGAGATGCGGGCGCGGGGGAATGACCCTTAGGGGGCTGGGCATGGGTGGGCATCGAAATGAAGGATATGGTGCAGAACACGGGGCGTGGGAAAGAATTCGGGCACCAGGAGGGCTGGGCACGGGTATAGGTGCAGGCTCCAGACGGTGCAGGCTCCGGGCAGGCTTGGGGCGGTAGGTGTGGGGCAGAAGCAGAGGACTTGGGCTCATGTGTTGGCACGGGGGCGTTGGGCACCGAGCAGGCACCAGGTGGACTGGGCACGAGACGGGCATAGGCGGATGGCAGTGGGCACGGGGGGGCGTAAAGGCACGGAAGTGGGCATAGGGCCCCAGGCAAGGGCCATGAGCCCCAGAAGTGGGCACAGATGTGTGGGACATAAGACAGGCACAGGGACGTGAGGTGGGCACAGGGCACAAGGCATGATGGGGACATGGACTTATAGGACTTAGGCATGGATATAAGCGCAGGGGGGCACCGGTGGGATGCCCAGTTCTTGGCCCAGTCCTCCCAGTCTCAGGGCCAGCAGAACTTCGCACCCACCTGCAAGATGGCCACCCGGAGTCAAGTCCCAGGTCCATCTGTGCTTTGGCGAGGAGTTCCTGGTTCCCTCCCCTGCCCCACCAGCCAAGGAGCGTCTCATCATGGCCCACAGGAGTCACTCCCTCCACTCCAGCAGAGAATCACACCCTTCTGTCTCCTCCAAAGGCCCCTCACTAGCTGCCTCCAGTCCCAGCTCTGCCCCCAGCTGTCTGTGGGACGCACTGGTCTGTGTGACCCCACAGGGGCTGTTACCAGGAAAGATCAGAGGTGGGAAACTGAGAGGGTCTATTCACTGCCCCACTCAACCCCCAGGTGAGCACCTCCTGCACTCAGAGTCTTGGGCCGGGTGCCCTACTGGTCCCTAGCCTGGTGTCCCTGAGGGTGTCACTCACCTCTGATGCATCTGAGTCAGCCCTAGGAGGGCACTTCCTTCTCTCACACCCCATAAAGACAGACCCCCAGGGTTTGGAGCCCTATCCCCACCCCAGCCGGGCCACGCTGAGTCAGCTGACTCGGGGCGTCCCCCTGTCGAGCACGCAGGCCGATGGGCAGTCGGCTGATGGTGACCTTCAGCCTCTCGGCCACAGGGATGGAGCCCTGGAACACGGCGAGCAGGCGACACCACCTGGCAGCTGGGATGGAGCTTCGGTGGGAATCCGGACTTGACCTTGAGGCCCCAGAAATGCAGCAACTGGGGGCAGAAACAAAGAATTCATCTCTTGTTAAGAGTTTAGATGCCAACAAAGATCTACTCAGAGCCAGACTTGACCTGCAATTGAGTCCGTTACAGCGTCTGCTTAAAGCTGAATTTCCCAATTCACTGCATTCACCTAGAAGTTCAGGGAAAGTCCAACCAGTAACAAGATTGCCCAGTGTCTGAGGGGCTTCCCTACCACTAGCTGCTCTTCTTTATCTGGGGGAGGGTGTCCCAAAACAGAGGAATTGGCCTGAACCCTGGGTTTTGGATGCTAACCATAGGACACTGTCTTTGGAGAAACTGAGGCAGACCCCCAAACACAGCTCTGAGGCAGAGGCCAAAGTGGGAGTCCAGCCCCTCTCCAAGCTGCATTGACCATTACAAGCTCTAAGCTGTAGGGAATCTGTAAGAATGGGGGAGGGGACCTATGATCATAGGTTGGTTCCCCCACCTTGGAAGATAAGTGGCAGTCCCCCGCCCCCCAGATGTCAGGCTGTTTTTCTTTTCTGATTTCTGACCATTTAAAAGAATCCTCTTAAAGATGCTAACATAATGTATCTCTTTTTTCTTTTTCTTTTTTTTTGAGTTGGAGTCTCACTCTGTCGCCCAGACTGGAGTGCAGTGGCCGTTCTCGGCCACCGCAACCTCGACCTGCTGGGTTCCGGCGATCCTTCCACCTCAGCCTTCCAAGTAGCTGGAACTACAGGTGCACACTACCACACCCGGCTAACTTTTAATTTATTGTAGAGATGAGGTCTCGCCAAGTTGCCCAGGCGGGTCTCGAAACCGCGGGCTCAGGCAATCCACTCACCTCAGCCTCCCAAAGACACGGGATTACAGGCTGAGCCACTGGGCCCGGCTCATAATGTATCTATTAATGATACATTAATACGCCTGTTTTAGGGGGAACCCGTGTGACTTAACAAAGGACAGAAGTCGATCAATTGACGTTTTTCTAGTCATTTAGCAGACACTTATCTACTACTCTGTTCCAGTGGCCAGTGCAGGATGCCAAGGATGGAGCAAAACAGCTTGGCTCTGCTCTCTTGGGGTTCACATTCTGATTTCCAGTGGGGATCCAGTGACTGTCCCCCACCCGTGCCCCTTTCAAAAGGGGTAGTGTTAAGACATTGTAGAACCCAGCATTGTTACAAGCTGGCTGTGAGGCCTCAGGCAAGTGACTTAACTTCTCTGACCCTCAGAGCCCTCATCTATTCAAAAGAAGCTAGTAGCTCAAGAGCAGTGTTGGTCCGAGGGGTAAATGAGTATGTGGGGATGGGGGGAGTGGTGAGCTGATGTGGCACAGAGAGAGTGACCACTGGGAGCAGAGCAGCAGGGAGGTGCTGTCCCACCCTCCAGAAGGCCTGACTGCTTGGGGCTTTGCTACACTGTCCAGCTCAAGGCTGCAGCTGGGTAGCCTCAGTGCAGAGTGACAGTCCACAGCCAGGTTCAAAGCCCTGCTCTGTGCCGGGCCCGCCGAGGGTGCTAGACTGTGCAAGAGAACCTCTGGCTTTCTCGCCATGGTGTGGAGAGGTGAAGAGTCACTCGTTCCATCTTAGAGATGGGGAACTTGAGGCTCAGCCAGGGCCTTGGGATGCCTCTTGGGAGGGGGATGCCTCTGCCCCGATGGCTGTCCTCCCCATACAAGTCACTAGGGGGCGCCAGGGGCTCGGCAGAGCTGGGTTTCCTGAGCCCCGGTTGCCGTTCCAGGCGCCCCTCCCCTCAGAAGCCAGCTCGAGGACGGGGAGGGGTGTGGTCCCCAGAGCCCTGCACCGCCAGGGAGACGGTAGACAGGCCTGGAAGAGGGCGAGGGAAGCGAAGGGGGCCTGGTGGGGGGGGTCTGAGCGGCCCCTGGGGCTTTCCCTGCTCCTGGGGACAGGCTCCGACCTGCCTCTCTCCGCTCTCCGATCTCTGCCCCTCCGCGTCTGTACCTGTGTCTCACTCCGCCTCTCCTTTCTGTCTCTGCAGATCTCTTCTCAGTGTCTCTCAGTGATCTAATGCCTGCACATGGCTTGTCTGTGCGTTTTTGTCTCTCTCCCTCTCTGGCTCTGTGTATCTCTGCCCACGTGTCTGTCTCTGTCTTATCCTCGTCTCTCTGTCTCTGCCTCTCTTCCTCTCTCTTGTTGTCCCTGCCTGTCCGTCTCTGTCTTTTCTTCTCTGTCTCTGTCTCTTTGTTTCTGCCTCTGTCCCACTCCCTTTCCTGGCCATCCAGAGCTCGGCCATCCGGTCACCACCGCGCAGCACACGCGGGCTGAGGGTCTCAGTCCCTCCTCCTGCACCTCCTCACCCGGGGCAGCCGCTTGGCTTCCTAGCCCCGGCCTCTCCCGCCTGCCTTGGGCCTCGGGGAGTCGGCGAGGGAGGAAGGGAGGGCAGCCTAGCGGGCCCACCCCTTTTTGCCTTTCCAGGCGGGAGGCTGGGCCAGCGGGCCTTTTAACCA